CAAGAAATGCTAAGCTTTGAATTTGTTTAATAAACTGAAAGATTACATACAGTAATTCAAACTGTGTCAAAAAACTGTAACAAGAAGAAAAAGAATTTAGTTTTACTAAATGGCTTAACTTCAATAAATACCATTCTCCACCTTGAATTACTCATTGATTTAAGTTTTAGTGAGATTGTGACAACTTGAAAAGTTTTGCCATTTCAACAGGTTAGATGAAAGAGTTCAAAGTTCATGGACAAAACATTATTAATTGGATGCACCAGGAAGAGACAATAAGGCATCAAGTATTTTTTACTAACATGAATGAGTTCAACTTTATGAAAAATTATTACAATCAATCAGCAGCTCTGCTCAAAGAAAGACAGCACACCCCATAATCTCTTTATACGGGTCATGTTGAAGACGGCACACAATAACACAGAATAAATCCAGGCACGCAGCTTCCTCTGTGAACATTCTGCTTTTTGCACACAGAAATATCATGAGTGCACTTTGGGAACAGAGGAGATGCTCTACACACAGGTGTGCGTTTGCGTGTTTGTCCGTCAGTGTTTACGTGTAAAATGACTTTTTTCTTCACGAACACGTCAAGTGAATAGCAGCAATCATCACACATACATAAATATGTGTTTTACATAATAACAACACAGAGCACACAGAGCTAAAAAAGGCATATGGCTAACAGTCTTTGATCGGGATCACAGTTTCATGTTAATGGCCTCCATTTTTGCCACTTCTTGACATGTTCTCTGATGTTAAGGGCTGTTTATGATGAATATCACCAAAGAGGGACACGAGCATAGAATAATAATAAAAAAGCTTATTCCATTAAAGTGAAATATTCCTCATGAAAATGCAGGATGTTTCCTGAATCCGTCCTTTTATGTTGTATGAAGTCAGCAGAGTGGGGAAATATACTGTAATCTAGGATGTCACGTTTCTGTGACACTTTTGATGATTTTCTTCACAGTGAGTCAATTCATAACAAATGTTGCAAAATTGCAGCTACAAAACAGTATATATTATATACCTGTTGTGATTGCATTTTGTTGCATTTTGGGTTAACATGAGGTCCATGGCAGTGGGAACGTTGCTTTGAACATCACTTGAAAGCGCAGCAGTCAGGGTATCTGGCAAAAAGCAAGAGGACGGAGTAATAAGAAGATCTAATCCAGGGTGAAGTCAAACTTCGGCCCAACTGACCCAACAGGACCAGATCAGAGTCTCACTGCTCCTGAAGAAGAAATAGAGAATCAGTGTTAGTGACTTATCTTATATGGCTTTGGATGGAGAGCATTTTTTACTTTATTTAATAGGTATTTTATAATATATTTACACTCCTAATCAAATACACATTTACCTACATAGGAAGCAGACAAAATGATGTCATCAGGGGTCCAAGATGTTTGAGCAGAATTAAAATGTTCTCCTGAGAGAGAGAAAGATGGACAGAGAAAAGAAGAAGCAAACTGGTTAGAGCCACACTTTGCTCCTCAAAGGTTTGTCTCATGGACAGAGATAATAGACACTTCTTCTTTCACTCGCTGGCTGCTGTAAACTCTAAAAGGAAGAAGACAACAGGACATAACAACTGTACTGAGACAAATGATTACTTCCTGTAATGTGTTTATTCTGCAGATGTCTTCATGTGACTAAACATAACCGTAAGAAATGCTTTACAAGAGGAGCAGTTAAATGTGAACATGACTTAGGAGCAAACTAAAGGATGTACAGACTGATGAAAGAAATGAAAACTGTAAAACAATATTGTGTTCTGTGGCATGTTCACTTTTTGAATGAAATGAGACTGGCTCAGTTATCACCTGAAACTGACTCCAGTTAAACAAATTATCATCTTCATCTTCTGTTTATCCGTAGTTGGGTTGCAGAGGCAACAGGTCCAGGAGAGACACCCAGACAGCCGTCTGAGATTTGGGAATCTCAGGGTCTCATCTCTGCTTAATGTGGATGATGTGGTTCTGTTGGCGTCTTCAGGCCAAGACCGTCAACGTGTACTAGGGTGGTCCACAGCCGTGTGTGAAGCAGCTGGAATGACAGTCAGTTCTTCTAAGTATGAGGCGTGGTTCTTGACTGGAAACGGGTGCATCCCTCTCCCCAGTGACACTTTCTAGCTCGTCCTGGGAAACCTCAATATGTTCCCAGGCTAGATCATAAACACAATCCCTCCAGTGCTTTCTGGGTCTTCTCTGGGGCCTCCTACTAGTGGGACATGTCCGGAAAACCTCTAAAGGAGGCGTCCATGAGGCATCCTAATCAAAAACCCAAATTACTTCAACTTACTCCTTTTGATCAGGAACAGCAACTCTACTCCAAGCTTCCCCTGGATGACAAAGATCTTCATCCTATCTCTAAGGCTGAGCCCATTTCAGCCGCTTGGATCCGGGATCTCATGATCCAAACCTTATGACCAGGTAAGGGTCGGAACATAGACAGACCAGTAAATTGAGAAATGTGCCTTTTGACTCAGTTCTTTCTTCACTACGACAGACTGAAGCAATGCCCTCATTACTGAGGACAAGGCCCCAATCCATCAATCCATCTCCTGCTCCATTCTACCATCACTCATGAACAAGATGCCCAGATACTTAAACTCCTCCACCTGAGGCGAAGTCTCCCCCCTGACTCAGAGGGGTTTCCATCCATTTCCAGTCAAGAACCATGGCCTCATACTTAAAGGAACTGGCTCTCATTTCATCTCCTTCACACATGACTGCAGACAACCCTAGAACATGCTGAAGGTCTTGGCCTGAAGACGCCAACAGAACCACATCATCCACATTAAGCAGAGATGAGACACTGAGGTTCCCAAACCAGAAACCCTCCTCTCCATGACTGCACCTTCAGATCCTGTCCATGAACACCACAAACCGGATTGAAGACTAGGGACAGCCCTGGTGGAGTCCAACCTACACTGAGAACGAGCTCAACTTTGTGCCAAGAACACGGACACAGCTCCTGCTTTGGTCATACAAGAACCAGATAGTCCTTAAAGCAACCCATGCATCCCATACTCCTGCTGCACCCCTCACAGAATGCCTCGAGGAACATAGTCATAAGCCTTCTCCAAATCCACAAAACACATGTAGACTGGAGAAACAAACTCCCACGACCCCCTTAGCAACCACGCAAAGATGAAGATCTGGTCCACAGTTCCATGACCAGGACGGAAGCCACACTGTTCCTCCTGAATCTGAGTTTCAACAATTGCTTGGAGCCTTCCTTCCAACACCCTGGAGTAAACCTTCCCAGGAGGGTGATCCCACAATTGGTGGAACACATTTTCCAGTCCTCCTTTTTAAAAATGGGAACCACCACCCGGGTCTGCCACTCCACAGTCACTGTCCCAGTCCTCCGTGTGACACTGAAGAGACGTGTCAACAGCCCCACAACATCCAGACCCTTCAGCATCTCGGGGCAAATCTCATTCACCCCTGGCGCCCTGACAAATTACCACTGTAATAAAACTAAAACATGCAGAAAAACACTTTTTATTCTACATCGCAATTGATAGAAATAATGTCTAATTTTTCCATTATCCCTTTTGAAACATGTATTCCACCATGCTTTAAATGAAAGATGTGACCAAACACAGCAGATTATCCTTTATAGAGGAAACAATATTTTCTTTGATCATAGATTAAAAAAAAACAATATTTTTTAAAAAAAAACTTAATATTTAGTATCTCAAGGTTAATGAGCCCAGATGTGAAAGAAAGAAGTCATGAAGCAGGTGTGAGTCACCAGGGGGCAGCGTGTAGACCAGCTGATTGGCATGCTGTTGCTGCTCTTAACGATTTTATAGACAAAGTCAGCTGAAGGTGAAACACGATATAAACATCTTATACATCCACAGCACACACACAAAACCTGCTTGTACTCTAAACATGTAAAACAGCTTCACCTGTAAATTGTGACATAAGTATTTTCCTAGATTAACTAAAACACCCCCCTAAAGTATGTTTGTGACAAACAAATATAAGCATTACATGGAGCTGTTTAATCTTATGAAGGGCTCTTATGTAACAGCAAAAACCTTATTGACCGTGTTTGAGTTGTTTTTTTTAATTTATGTATTTATCTTGTCTCACCTGAAAAAGTATGGATTTTGTTGTTTGTTTGTAAACCTAGACAGTGAAAAACACGCGTTAAAAATGAAAACAAAGAAACTTACCAACATTTTCAGTGGGGCAACACCACCCCCTGCTGGTTAGTTGCAGTACTTCAAAAAGACGGTCCATTCATAATTCCTCCCACACTGCTTCTCCCAGAGCAGCACCTCTCTGTGACAGATGTTGTCCAGTTCATCATGGCAGACCTCCTTATTTATTTTATTCTATGTCTGCTTTCCCCCCCCCTCAAAGTCACACAGTGATGTTGCTGATGAGCTGGGGTGACACTGCACATGTTCGGGTCTGTATTTATAAATACGCACTATTTATCAATTTTTCCCACTAAAGCACGACTACCGAGCAGTCTAATTAGAGACTGAAGACGAGCTACTCAGATGAGAATCTTCAAAATAGCTTCAAACCCAACTGGGAGGTTACTGTGGAAACAAGGGTGCCATGGCAACGGTGACCGGGGTTACCGAGGAAACGGCCGTCGCCATGGAGACTGCATCACAGCGGGCTATATTTGAGGCTACGAAACACGCTCCATCTTTGATCTTTGTTTGTGTGGAAAGCTCCGTGTTTCTCCACTCACGTGCGTCTTGCAGCATTAATGACATGCTGGCTGTAGTATTTACGTAGCCACATTTACGCACTGAGCAAAGCAGTCGATTTGAGGAAGTGTGGGGAATTATTACTTTATATTTATTAATTTGGAGACACCAGCAGTTAGACTAGACTTAACGCACAATAAAGGCATAGCACGAAAATGGTAAGCTATTATATGCTGGAATGTTTACCTGACATTACATGTGTTTGAACACACACTTACACACATTTAAATGACTGGATATTATACACAGGCTAAGTGACGGGTCACGACTCTTTACGCATGATAACACAGCATCCTTCGAGGACTCGTTTTTCACAGTTATAAAGCTTCTATTCATGTCTGCTGTTATGCATATTAATATACTGACTATTGCACAACAGGTTTATCTCCTCAAGCAGGGAGGAGAAGTGGTGCAAATAATTAAAAGGGAGGAAGCTCTTTCTCTATAGCGCGAACAGAACCGAAGAGGGAATTATCACTTCATATCAATAAATAAATAAAAAAAAAAACGATTCTTTGAATGCATATCTGAAACAGGACGCACGCGCTCGTTCGTTCTTTCTTTTTCTGTTTTTTTCTCTCTTCACCTCACGCCGCTGCCTCCAAACACCGCTGCGCAACCGCACAACCAGCTGCGCGCTGACGCATCACCTCCTCCCGGGTGGCTCGAGGCCATTGCTCTAAAGTCTGGCTACACGTCGGTGAAAATCTTTTTGCTTATGTTTACGCAGTTCTGCGAGTTGTTCTGGGCGGTGGTGGGGAAGTTCGGCTGCTGTTTAAACGCGCTGTTCAACCCGGGCTCCTCTATCACCATGTACTCGCTCTTGCTGAGCGAGGACGAGGAGCGCGTCTTCCTCAGCTCTTCCGTGTCCGCCAGAGGCTGACAGCTGCCCACGTGCAGGTACTGCGCCTGCTCCTCGCCGTCCGTCTCCCTGTGGTAGAAGTAGTTGAAGTTGGAGACGATGACAGGGACAGGCAGGGCGATGGTCAACACGCCGGCAATTGCGCACAGAGATCCCACAATTTTACCCCCGATTGTCACCGGGTGCATGTCTCCGTAACCCACTGTAGTCATGGTGACAACAGCCCACCAGAACGCGTCCGGGATGCTGTTGAAGCCCGATTCCGGGTCGTCCGCCTCGGCGAAGTACACAGCGCTGGAGAAGAGGATGACCCCAATGAACAGGAAGAAGATGAGCAGGCCCAGCTCACGCATGCTGGCTTTTAGCGTCTGTCCTAAAATCTGGAGCCCCTTGGAGTGACGCGAGAGTTTGAAGATGCGAAACACCCGCACGAGCCTAATTACGCGCAGAATGGCCAAGGACATGGCCTGCTGTCCGTTCCCCTGCCTCTCCGCCAGCTCCGTGCCCAGGGTGATGAAGTAGGGGATGATCGCCACGATGTCAATAATATTCATGATGTTTTTGGAGAACGTGGCTTTGCTCGGGCAGGCAAAAAAGCGCACGAGCAGCTCGAAGGAGAACCAGATGATGCACAGCGTCTCCACGACAAAGAAGGGGTCCGAGAACGGGCTGATGAAAAACGGGAGCGTGCTGTTTATCACGGGCGCAATGGTAATAGGGTCCCTGTTCTCATCTCTGAACTCTGGCAGTGTCTCTAAGCAGAAAATGACAATAGAAATGAGAATGACCAAGACAGACACTATTGCTATTCCCCGTGCGGGTCCCGAGCTCTCCGGGTACTCAAAGAGCAGCCACACCTGCCTCTGAAACTCATTCTCAGGCAGCGGCCGCTCCTCCTCCTTTATAAAGCCCTCATCCTCCCTGAACTTCTCCATGGCCTCCTCACCCAGCTCATAGAAGCGTATCTCCTCAGAGAAAATGTCAATGGGCACATTAACGGGTCTTCTGATGCGCCCGCCAGATTGGTAGTAGTACAGGATGGCATCAAAGCTGGGTCGGTTCCGATCAAAAAAGTACTCGTTCCTGAGAGGATCAAAGTATCTCATCCTCTTCTTAGGGTCCCCCAGCAGCGTCTCTGGAAACTGGGACAGAGTCTTGAGCTGCGTCTCGAAGCGCAGCCCCGAGATGTTGATGACCACCCTCTCGCAGCACTCGTGGTCCGGTTCGTATCGGTCCAGAGAGAGGTGGCCCGGCAGAGCCGCGGACTCCTCCAGCATGTTGTCACACGCCACCACCGTCATCACGTCCGCCTCCACCTCGGTGTAGCCGTGGTTCACCAGGTTGTCGCCGCGGGTCTTGGTCACGCTCGGCGGTGGGGAGTGCAGGAGGCTGAGGTGGTCGTCCATGCGCGGCTGAAGACGCATGCAGGGGCGCCCGCCTCCTCGCCCCCTCCGCGAACCCCGATCAGCCACAGCCGCCGCCACAGCCTCTGCTCCTCCACGGCTCTGTCGCTCTCGTGCGCTTCACTTTCACTACCTACTGTTGCTATTCCCACCCACGGGGGGAGGCATGCGCGCGCGCGCGCGTGTGTGGTGGTGGGGCAGCGATCTGGGTTTATAAACAGGCGATCCACCCTCCCAGCGCGCGCCAGTGCTGGCCACCTTACACTGTGCCCTCCGCCAATAGGAGAACGCACGGACGCACAGAAGAAGCAACAGACGGGCGTCATTCAGCGGAGGGGTTTGGGCGTGCCAGTTTCCCTCTGCCCCTCTCTCCTTGTCTTGTCTGAACCTCCCCACCCCCTTTCTCTCTCTCACACACACAGACACGCGCACTTGGCGAGTCTCCTGTTTTAAACAAGGTCATTCCTCACAGACAGGACGTGTTTAATGAGGCTACCAGAGCAGAGCCCGTTTCTTCATCCTCTTCCTCTTTTCCCCTTTCAATCAAGAACGTTTTTTTTTTTTTTTTTTTTGTGCGCCATCCTAAAATTACAACAAAGACATCTGCAAATGGAATGATGTGAATGGTTTTTGTTGTTGATATTTTAACAATTGGCATGTATCATAACCTTGTTTAAGATGTAAAATAAAGGATTTTCTGAGGACATCTACACACACATCTTCTGTTTGCTCAGATAAGCTCACAGAAAAACCAATTTCATTCTCTTTACAGACGTGACCAGGTGTTACCCTCACGGATTAGTTCTTTTGTACGCCCCAGTAATTTTTAGTTTGAGTTTAAAAAAATTTTTTCTGTGTAAAAAATATGCAGGCAATACGAATCCTTTCATTTTACATGAAGAAAAGAGACAGTTTCATTTACCCATCTCATGACATAAGGTGTAAAATGATGGTGTAGGATGCTGCTGTCCAGGGTGCTGAAAGAAACCAATTAAAGTGTTACTTTGGGTCTGTTCATTGCTCCGTGAGGTTTATTAGCAGTACATTACTGATGAAATTCTTAGATAAAAGCCTTGAAAAGGCCTGGAAGCTGTTGTCATTATACTTTAGTGCATATATGGCCTAATATTTTGCTTTCGAGAAATCTTGCTTTCAAAATTTAAATGGTTTGGACCAATATTTATTTGGGCATTTCTTCAATTTTCTGTAAAATCTTTAAAATTTTTACTGCTTTTTTCATATTTGCAGACCAGTACTTCATCAGTTTTATAGGAATTAGTTTTCTTTCTTTGTTACATCAGCTAACTCTGACTTAATCATCCATCCATCCATCCATCCATTCATCCATCCATCCATCCATCCATCCATCCATCCATCCATCCATCCATCCATCCATCCATC